AACTTAATATATCACGAAATAATGCTATTTTATACATATTTTATATATAAAATGTGATTAACTCAAATATAAGTCAAATCATAAATGAGTTTAGCCTTCATGCAATTCAGCTAAGACTTATTTCCAATCCCTCCCAATCCGGCCTCCTCCACTAAACCCCACCCATCCCTCGACCCGACCTCCTCCACACCAATAACCCCAGAAACCGACCTCCTCCACACTCCACAATCGCCGATGTCGTGCAGGTGATCCCATTGGGAACTACACCTGTGCGGTGCGAGAATCAGGAGTTGGCTCTCCCGGCACCGATGACGACCTTGGCCGGCCTTACAGCCAACAGCCGATGACGTTAAAGCCTCCCAAACACCATCAACAATGGTCATCACCACTGCATTGCATTCACTATTGGCTACTGTCTCGCACACTACCAGTCCTTTCCAACCACTGCCTCCCATCTCACCACTGATAGCTCACTAGCAGGCACTCAAATACAACGTTTTCGGAAGGATTCGCATACCAGTCGCCGCCATACTGGCTATGCCTCCCGTCTACCTGACCTCTGGACACGCAAATCCTGGTCAGCCTCCTGGCGCACCACTTGTGCCCACAACACATTTGTTCATACACCACAGGTCGCGCTCACCGCCCACTCCTACCAACCATCGCACTCATCCTCACCGACGCCTCGAAATGGATCCTTGGCCTCAATCGTCGCGTACGCCTCAGACTACCGGTGCCATTCTTCGAGCGGCCGTCCTGTTAAGTGATGGGGGAGTAACGAAGGTCTATGAGTTGCTATTCTTGGCTACCCACTGGCCGAGTCATCACACCTGTGCCTCAAGGGCAGCACTAGGACTTTCTGTGCCATTCTTCGAGCGGCCGTCCTGTTAAGTGATGGGGGAGTAACGAAGGTCTATGAGTTGCTATTCTTGGCTACCCACTGGCCGAGTCATCACACCTGTGCCTCACGGGCAGCACTAGGACTTTCCAATAGAGTTGTACTGTACCCACAGATACTGACCATTAGCTCATTATCTCATGTATGGCACTTCTATGCCTTAGAACGAGTCTATACTAAGCACTCATTCAGTGCACATCTCTTGTAATGAATTAAGTTTTTGTTTAATAAAGTGGTTTAGTTTGTAATCATTAAGTGTTTTCATTTGTATCCTGAGGTCGAGCACATTACTCGGTTCTCTGGCCTGACCATTCTTATATCTAATATTTTACTAAAAATATCCATAAATAACGTAGCATATTAAAAATATTCAATATTTTTAGCATTTATATTCTTTTAACACTTTAAATATAAACCTTACAATATTTCTATTATAACTACCATGATCTGTGAAAAATTCTCTATTGAATTGATATATCACATGTCCATATTTATTATGAAAAATATTCCTGGTAAAAGTGGTCATTGCGGTCGAACCCGAGGTCACAGGACAATATAAATTACATATTCGGACTCAGGATTGAATGGGCTTTCATTTCCAATCAACAAATCAAAAATGCCAGCTTAGGAAACTCGTAATGCTTTTATAACAGTATCCTTTATTAGGTTAGCCTTTTTAATCCAATTTTTTATATGTTTTAAACTAAAATTTTATTAAAATAAAAATTTCAATAACATTTACAGTTTAAGATTAATATAACATTGATTATCATTGCTACATACTATTCATCGGTAGTTCATTAAAACAACAAAGTATTTACTTATAAAAATATTTAATATTAATCTATTCCAAAGTTAGCTTTATAAATTAATAGTTACTTAAATTTAATAATTTAAGCAATGTTACAATTTGCATACGAAAACATTTATTTTTGTAAAACAACAGTAATTTGTAAATTTATCATGGTTAATTATTTCTATAGACCCCTATATATAAAGGGCCCAAAAAGAACTCATACATAACTGCTGGACGATTGAAAAAGGCTGTCACACAGTTGGCCTTCTCGCACACGACTGTCACGTAGTCTCTGGCGATGGTATCCCTTATAAGGGACGCCATTTCGGCGTAACAGTTGTTCATCAACTCCCGGCCCATATCCCGTTCCCGTACTTTAAGACATGCTTGCTCATTAAAGTTAACAGTGCGGTTCATAAACAAGTCGATTATATGTGAAATGTTCCTGGTCACAATCCTCTCGTCGAGATTGTAGTATTTAATTTGTTCGGGGTTCGAGTTACGTGCTTGTTTAATTGTGTTTAAAATGTGCGTGCTCTTTTTAAAATATATATATTTTTATAAATATTTAACATAATGATAATTATTAAAGCTACTTACTACGTTATATTCAGCCTGATGATTATGTTTACTTGTTGAATTATGTTCATTGTGCAATACATCCAACATAAACTTATATTTATCTGACCTTGCATGCTCCAAACTTTTTATTAATTGTTTACTCTATTTGAAAATAATCAACATTAATAAAATAATTATCATGGTAATTATAATATATTACCTCGTCGTTAATTAAGTTTAATTGATACAAGGTAACTTTAATGTGTTTAATTTGCACCCGAATAAACGACTTAATTCTGTTAATGTCAATATATAGCCCATATTCAGATTTATCATTAATTATATGACATAGCCAGGTGCTGCCATATTTTCCATCCATTTCCCTAACCAATGATTTAGCCAATGACGAGGGTATATCCGTGGTCATGTATTGTTTGTAAACTAGTAGCGAGATACTTTTGACATCACTTTCACTGACACGTCTAGATATGACTTGAATGTCACCTATTGATGACAACACAGTTTGCATAGAAATCATTAATAATAATAATTTAAGCACCATTATCAAGGTAAATCAATTATAAGTTTATGATATTTTGTATGATAATTTTTAAATAATTTCCAAAATTAGTANACTTGAATGTCACCTATTGATGACAACACAGTTTGCATAGAAATCATTAATAATAATAATTTAAGCACCATTATCAAGGTAAATCAATTATAAGTTTATGATATTTTGTATGATAATTTTTAAATAATTTCCAAAATTAGTACATTAAATACTTTTCAACATAAATGCTAATTGCAAAATTATTTATTTAGAATACTCTACAATATTTGGACAGGTGTATATAATTGATCAAGGCTAATAATGTTTGTACACATCATTGTCTACTGATTTAATGTNAAATAATTTCCAAAATTAGTACATTAAATACTTTTCAACATAAATGCTAATTGCAAAATTATTTATTTAGAATACTCTACAATATTTGGACAGGTGTATATAATTGATCAAGGCTAATAATGTTTGTACACATCATTGTCTACTGATTTAATGTTATATTAAAAAATATTTTACTACCACAGTAAACAGACAACAAAATTTTAATTATTTTTCATTAAAGTATAATGAGCTTATAATTTTTTAAAAATAAATTTGTTTAGTTTTAAATTAACGGCCAATTGTTTCTAGTGATCAATGTTAAGTTTTTGTATTTTCAGATACTAATACCTTAAATTTTTATTATATTTACAGTTTATTGACTTTAGGATTAAAATTGAATTATGTTTCCTATTTAGTAAACATTGTCTCGGTAATTATATTTTATATATTATATTAATTTTTAAAGTTAAAATCTTTTAGTAAATTAAAGCTGTAAATGTTTTAATTATATTTAATATTATTAATTTAATAAGAATATATACTGAATATTGGATATGAATATTTGCCTGTACAATATTATAATATACAGTATAATTTATACTATAAGTACATAATAAAAAGTTTATTTTTTAAAATTTTACAAATATATAAATTAATATTAATCTAGTTCAGGCCCGTCCAGAATTTTTAAAATCCTCAAAATAGTGTTTTATAATATTAGTAAACTTATTAACTATTCAAAACACTAATATTTAATGAATTAAAAGTGACTAAGATATTTTGTTGGAAAAATAATTTTCATTTTGATTAATAGTATGAATATTTATTAACATCAAAATACTAGTGTTGGGTATACTCAGCTTAAATAGAAATAAATAATAAATGCATACAGCACTAGTTGGTTTCTGGAAACCATATCTGTGCGCCAATGATCTAGTTTATTTTAATTATTATAGGAAACTTAAAATTGATCACGACAAATTATTTCTAATAACTCCGATATACAAAGGGCCCAAAAAGAACTCATACATCTCTGTGGTCTCCGTATTGTAAAAGGCTGTCAAACAGTAGGCCTTTTCGCATACGATTGTCACGTAGTCTCGGGCGACGGTATCCCTAATACGAGCCGCTATGTCGGCGTAACAGTTGTTGGTAAGCAGTCGTCCCATATCCCGTTCCCTTAGCTTAAGACATTCATGCTTATCAAAATTGGCAGTATGATTCATAAACAGGCTGTATATTTCCGAAATGTACTTGGCTGCCGTAGTCTCTTTAATGTTACGGATGTTAATTATGTCAGGCTTCGAGTTACGAGCTTGCTTATTTGCATTTAAAATGTGGTTGCTCTATTATCGTAACATTTTATTATTAATTTATAGATACATATTTTATTAAATTGTACTTACTACACTATAATCACACTTGCACTGGCAGTGACAATTTTGATTGTCACACATTATTACCCATGCTGATTGATTGTAGAATAAATAATATAACAATTTTTACATTAAGCATTTTAAAATAAAATTTGTAATTTATATGTATGTAATATTTTAATAACTATATCCTGTTGGATTCTATAGTGATAAATACTATTCATAAAATATTTAAATAGATTTATAAAATTAAATTACAATTACTGAAATTAACATTTTATGCAATCTCGGTGAATATTTAATTAGCATTGTTATATAGATATTATACTGCATTGTTTTGTATCAAACTATTTCATAAACCTTTATACTTATAATTTACATAGCTTTTTTTTATAGTGCATCTTTAATTAAATAAAAAATAGACACACATACTTTTACAGTTACAGACAATTACTTTTAAATTTACAGTTAATACTGTAATAATACAGGAATAAAAAATCTATTATATAAAGAGTATTTATATTTGGTTTTGTATTACAATTTTATTTTAAACCCAATAAACTTTATTAAATATTGAACATTGAGGGACTGACTTTTTATCACACTGGGACACTGGGCTCATTGGGCACATTGGGCATACTGAAAGTGAGTGAGCTCACAATTTTAAAAATCATTATAGAATATTAATTTTTTAATTAATTTTTTATGGAGACAGTATGATATATTGTTGTTTAAATTAATAATAAATCAATAATTATAATTTGAATCATATTTAAATGTACAATCTATTAATTAACTAACAATGCAAGAACGGCAAGTCTTTCCGTTAATTGCGATTAAAACCGTGTGAATTATAGTCGTATGCTATGGTGTAATAAGACTATCCAGGTCCTGTAATCTAGCGGAATGTCTTAGGTGTCCAAATCGGTGATTATATTAGGGACGCGCTATAAAAACTATACATTTTTGCATTGAAATACATTCATTCCTAGTATTGTAACCCTGACTCTTATAGTGTAAGTAGCTGAATAGGATTTTATATCAATAATGGATAGAGATTTTATAGCGCGTCCCTAATATAATCACCGATTCGGACACCTAAGAAATTCTGCTAGATTACAGGGCCTTAATAGTCTTATTACACAATAGCATACGACTATAATTCACACGGTTTTAATTGCAATTAACGGAAACACTTGCCGTTCTTGCATTGTAAGGACTAAAAGCATATTCTAATCTTAAACATGTTCAATTTTCTGACATATTTAATTTATTAATTGTATTAAGCTTATTTTAAATAGTTCTTAACAATGTAAGTACAGCATATAAATATTCGCCTATTTATAAAATATTTATATATTCACAAAAGCAGTTTTAGCAAAACTTTTTCCAATGCGTAAGTGGTAAAGGATATTGACCAAATTCTCTTAAACTGGCATTTTTGATTTGTTGATTGGAAATGAAAGATTATTCAATGCTGAGCCGATTATGTAATTTATATTGTCCTGTGTCCTGAGTGTACTTTTTTGTGTTTGTACAAGTATTTTTGCAATTAATAGTAACTTTTACTAAGATGCACACTAAAAAAGGTGCTCTCATATATTTATCATTTACTTATTGGAAAAAAGTTTGGCTCACACTGAACAAAAGTGTCAATTTCTAAAATTGATGAAGTCTAGTACTTCTTGTGATTATAAGTTATATTTAATAAACTACTATTGTAATTTTCTATTAAAATTTAATTAATTAAACTTTAATATTATAAATTCTTTACATTGTGCATTTCATATAAGTTACTATAAATAGTAATCAGTATATGAAGCTCACCATGCTATAACGATCTAAGTATTTTTGTTTGTAAATTGTTGCTGGTAGTTAAATAAAACTTAAATAGCGTATTTAATTTACGATTTTATATTTTTATTTATTAAATAAGCATATTTTCAATTTAATATTAATGTTAAATAAACATTTATAATATAAAATTAAATCAAAGTATTATTTTTACTCACAATTGGATAATCTATTATATGATTTGTGTATTGATTACAGTTTACATTTTGTGATACCTAGTTCACTATAGCATAATCTCACCCATATAGTAGTGTACAATAATTTATTTGGCACCGAATTTGAATATATTGATTATGTAAATATTAAATGAAAACATAAAATATTTATGTCAAAATGATATATTTATTAATTATTAAAGATTTTAATTAAATTTGTTTTAACAAAAGAATTTTATAAAATTGCACCATAAATAGATAATGTTAATTTAATTCAATTTTTTTATAAAATAAAATATATAATAAGTGGAAAATTAATTTTTTTTTGTATTTGAATTATTAATTTATTTTAATTAATTTCATTAATATTATATAAATTATTTTAATTAAGTTTTAATGATAATAATATAATGTTTAATATAATACAGGAATAAAAAATCTATTATATAAAGAGTATTTATATTTGGTTTTGTATTACAATTTTATTTTAAACCCAATAAACTTTATTAAATATTGAACATTGAGGGACTGACTTTTTATCACACTTGGCTCATTGGGCACATTGGGCACACTGAAAGTGAGTGAGCTCACAATTTTTTAAATCATTATAGAATATTAATTTTTTAATTAATTTTTTATGGGGACAGTAGGATATATTGTTGTTTAAATTAATAATAAATCAATAATTATAATTTGAATCATATTTAAATGTACAATCTATTAATTAATTAACAATGCAAGAACGGCAAGTGTTTCCGTTAATTGCAATTAAAACCGTGTGAATTATAGTCATATGCTATGGTGTAATAAGACTATTAAGGCCCTGTAATCTAGCAGAATTTCTTAGGTGTCCAAATCGGTGATTATATTAGGGACGTGCTATAAAAACTCTATACATTTTTGCATTGAAATACATTTATTCCTAGTATTGTAACCCTGACTCGTATAGTGTAAGTAGCTGAATAGGATTTTATATCAATAATGGATAGAGATTTTATAGCGCGTCCCTAATATAATCACCGATTTGGACACCTAAGACATTCCGCTAGATTACAGGGCCTTAATAGTCTTATTACACCATAGCATACGACTATAATTCACACGGTTTTAATTGCAATTAACGGAAACACTTGCCGTTCTTGCATTGTAAGGA